CTATAATAAATTAAAATTACCTGAATCACACCAAATTCCGCATTGCTGCACTGCACTGCTAGGCCATATGTTGACAACCCAATATGTGGCCAGGTGGACCAATGCGGCTATGTTTGTGCCGCGTTTGCCCGCGCGCTTACTCTTCAACTGGACGACTAGACCTGTATATGGGTATGGCTAAAGAAAAATGGGAACAAGTTTTTCAAATATTTCAATGCCGAGTTGCTGCGTGAGCGACCGAACTTGGTACATATGTACTGCCAACCTGTTGGTTTTTCAGTTGAGATCGGAAAGACTATACTTAGATGGGTGACCATTCGGGAAAGGCTCGCGATGCTCGTTCACTTTTTATCTATAAAAATATAGACAAGGTTTATATAGGAAGACATTTCCAGGTTGAGGGTTGCTCGTCTCCTGGCGTCGGTGTTTAGCCAGAGTAACAGAAACAGGGCGACGCGCGACGTAAAATAACTAAAAAGCAAAAAGCTGTATTTGTAAAAATTGATACAGATTTTTTTTAACTAGAGGTCAGGGCAAATAGATTCTTTTTTTCACCGGAAAATTCAATATTTCTAATTTTTTTATAACATTATAAATATAAACATCGTTTTGCAATTTTTAAAGAAAATAAATAATTTTACAGCAAAACATGAACATTGCTTTAAGCTGCTGCTGCTGAGTTTCCATGTCATAATTAAAGCAAGAGGGTTCTGTATTTCTGAGTATGTTCTGTTAACATGAAACGCCGTTTATATCCAACGTTTTATATAAATTCCCAAAGAAACCAAGCCCATGTTGTAATTAAAGCCTTAATTAAGTTCTCACCTTCTTAATTAATTATATACGCAGATCAAAAGCATTTAAATATCAAAAATACCGGAACCCTCAAAAGTGAAACTTGTGTTCTTCTGTTTAATTCGGGAGTTCCTCTCGTGCCTTTGGGGGGGCCCTGATTTTATTTGACATGGTGTGGTTTCTCATAATGGAAGCGACTTTAATGTTGAATGATTGTGGAATTAATTAAGAATTCGGGACAATGGCAAACTTTGTTTTGCGCCGGCAAGCCCTAACAATGGGCAAGAGGGTCTGTCGCTGAGACGGAGAAGCCAAACAGAAGGCTCGAATTACTTGTAAGTTTGTTAATAAGGAAAATGGTGTTAATAAAAAACGTTCAATTTTTGGCGAATTAGTGGAATGAGGCGGGTGTTATAATTGGGGATCCGACTGTCAAGGACATTTTCGTATCGGAGTTAGTTCAATACCGCTTCTAAAGGTTCGTAACGGAAGAACGTCACACTTGTGGTAAGCGAACTAGCTATAGCTGCTGTTGTAATATTGAAAATAATGGGAAAATGTAAGTTTTGTGTGTTAATAAAGAAACAATAGTAAAATAGCACGAATTGCACTTTGAATTGCTTCTCCGTCCACCGTATTTTCCGGATCTGGCTCATACCACCTGTTTGTAGACATAAAAAGAATGGACCAGAGAAAAAGATTTGACTCCGATGAAGAAGTGATTGCCAAAACTGAGGCATATTTTGAGGAAAAAGATAAATCGTTCTACAAAAAAAAGCATCGAAATGTTAAAAAAACGTTGAAATCAATGTATCACTACTAGAACTATGTAAATAAATAAAGTCAAAGAGTGACCGCAAAATCCGCCCGTTTTTGCGTAGTGTGTAGCAAGAACGGGGAAGGTTGTACAGAGGTCTCCGTGGGCTTAAATTGATCGTCATGAAAAATCTAGGTCAGCATAATTCGATTTTTTCCAATATTTGCCCGACTTACCCCTACTTAAGGGGTGGAAACCACCCCTAAAACAAGAAAAATGAGAAAATAGTCGATAAATCCTTGGTAAAATTGGGGGAATTTCACATGGCAAGGGTAAAATCAGGAATGTCCTTCTAAAAATGCTCATGATAAACCCACCCCCCACGTGGGGGTAAAACAAAAGATCGAATTATGGGGCCCGTCTTTCGTATCATTTGTCGGGTAGTGGGGGAAATAAAGTACTTCATGAAATGGATATCATTCCCCGTCTGCTATCGGCAATAGGGGTGGTTTTACCCCCACGCGGGGGTGTTTTTCACCTTGAGCATTTTTAGGAGTGCATTCTTGATGTTACCCTTGCCATGTGGAATTTCGCCAATTTTTACCCAGATTTTGGTGGCCATTTTTTCTGTTTTCTTGTTTTAGGGGTGGTTTCACTTCACTACTTCAGTAGGGGTAACTGATCAGAATCCGACAGAAGAACGAATTATGGGGCATGTATTTCATATCATTTGGATTTATAAGGAAGAGTGGCACAAAAAAGGCAATTCATGAAGGGAACATCATTTGCCGCCGGTTTTCGGCAATAGGGGTGGTTTTACCCCCACGCGGGGGATGTTTTCACCTTGAGCATATTTGGAAGAACATCCCTGATCTATTCCTTGCCAATCAAATTCCCGCCAATTTTTACCAAGAATTGATCGACCATTTTCTCACGTTTCTTGTTTTAGGGGTGGTTTCCACCCCTTAAGTAGGGGTAAGTCGGACAAATATTGGAAAAATCGAATTATGCTCACCTAGATTTTTCATGACGATCAATTTAAGCCCATGGAGACCTATGGACGACCTTCGCCGTTCTTGCTACACACTACGCAAAAACGGACGAAAAAATGGGGTTTTTTGCGGTTACTCTTTTCTCTAAAAGTTATTGTTTTACTGGTCATCCTATGAATTTATTGGGTGATGGATATTACATATTTCCTCTAAAAAATTGTTTATTTCGTTAAGGAGGTTTATAGGGTACGTAGGTACGTCTAAAGTCTAACGAAAGTTTCTGTAGATTCGCTAGTTACTAAAGTAGTAAGCCTTTAGATTTGGTAACGTTGCTCTTGGCTGGCGCGCTCGTCTCGGCGTTCGCTCGCTCCCGTTCGATCATTCTGTTTATTTGGTCACCTGCGAATTTCAAATAATACGCTACGTCGAGACCGCGGTGTTGCCGCTATCACGCATATGTAGGATAGGTTAGTCAACGACAGCAGTTTGAAGGAGAATTATTATAAATTATGTATCTTACAAGTACCTAATCGATTTCTACAAGCTGTCATACGGTTCCTTAGATATCGGTTTCCTATTTATACAAGTTGCTGCGGAAATTGTTTGTCAATTGTTGCGCATTCTAAGTGGAAAGATAAAAAAAAATCTACATTCTCATAAGACTCTGTACTAAATCGTGAAAAATTATTTTATTAATATCTCGTCTCTTAGGTATCCAAACTAATCATAATTTTTTTTTGAGGATTTTCTTCATATTAATAAGCTTATATTAATTTTTTTATGAATATTTGTTCGCCAATTCCAAATCAGATAAACCTCCTTAAACCAATCATAGTTCATTACGTTACAAAGAAACCGAAACCGAATAATCATCATTTCATCGATTTTATAAAATTTATAATATAGACTAATTCTTCAAATGGTTGATTTAACAGCGATTTTATTAAAAAAAAAACTGGTCATAATTGTCATTTAATTTAAAAAATAGCAGTGATTTCATCGAAAAATTGCTCTCATTAAAGAAAATGGTCCGTTAATTATGAGATGGTCAATATAGGAAAAGTAACTTCAAAAAATATACAGGCTGTAAGATGTTTGCTGCCGTTAATTTAGCATGAGATAGAGTAATCGTAAATGAACAAAAAAATTGTATATTACAGGGGAATAAGATTAACAGTTTTCAAAATAGGTACAGCGAGTATTAATATTGGGGAGCTTCATCACAACGTGACAACGCGCTTAATCTAATTTTACACAGCTGATGCACTCCATGTGTGCATGCGGCACACTTATCCTACGGAATAACAAAAATGTAAACAACTATTATTCAAGACAATTGTTTTCCAGTTTTTAAATAAATAAAATAAAATTTATCGATTTTATAGTACGAAGATAGTTTTAGGCTTAAATTTTAGCTCGAATTTTTGTAATTATGAATCTCTTAAAACAGGAACTTAACTTTTAATCAAATTAAGTATGAATTTAAAAAATATGTAATTAAAGTACCCAAAGTTTCACGTCGTCCAAATAATCATACGTATTAAAAATAATTTAGGTACTTACCAAAAAGCAAAACTCAGTAATTTTAAAACGCACAAGTAGAGAACAAACTACATCATATGCTCAAAATCCACCACTATTTTCGATGCACGCACGACACCTTTGAATCCAATTGTCTTGCATTCGCTGGAAAATATCCGGATTTATCCTTATTTGATGGGTAGCGGTAAAAATTCGTTCTCGCAAGTGTTCGACTGTTTCAACTTCGCTGGCATACACTAAGTTCTTCATGTGTCCCCATAAGTAAAAATCCAATGGATTTAGATCTGGTGAACGGGCTGGCCAACAATGGGGACCGTTCCTGTCTATCCAGCGATTGTCGAAAGTAACATTTAACTATTGAACTACGCATATGCAGATGCCCCATCATGCATGAACCACAGATTTGCTCGGCAAAACATTCTGCAAAAAATTCAAATATGCCTCCCCTGTCAATCTGCGTGGTAAGATAAAAGGTCCTATTAGATTGTCTCCTAATATTCCACATCAAACATCTATCGAAAAACGATGCTGGAAATTTGATGTCTGTATGATATGTAAATTTTTTTCTGCCTAGTTATGAAAATTATGTGAATTAAAAATGCTATTTCTAGTAAAGCATGCCTCGTCCGTAGCTAAAATTCTTGAAATAAAATGGGGGTTGCAATCAGATTTAGTTAAAAACCATCTACAAAAATTTAACCGAGGGACGAAATCTGCAGCTGACAATTCTTGAACTCTCTGTAGATGATACGCATATAACAACTGCTCTAGTAGAGTCCTGTGGACAGTCCAGTGAGACAATCCGACCTCTCGAGCCATACTTCGAGTACTACGCCAGGGATCTCTTTCAACAATGTCTAAAATTTGTTCTACCGTATTGACATCCACTTGTCGATTTGGGCCATGATTTTCAGGACGAGGAATCACATTACCAGTTTCAAGAAGACGTTATGAAACTTAAACGAATGTTCTTCTGTGCCGGTGGGGAAAACGCCGACGGTAAATGCGTCGAGCTCTAGCAGAATTGCCTCAAGAAAAGGAAATAGTGGTACGCAAAAAATACTTCGACACGGTCGAATTCCAGATACCAACTGAATTGCGTATTGCTGGTTGCTGGACATCTTAGTACCTCGTGTTGTCACATTGCTCGATATGAATTTTATCGAATTTTTTAGAAATTTGGTAAGAGTTAATCTCGGAGTTAATCGATGTAATTCTTCATTTCTGGAGCTTACGACAGTCCGCTCAATTCATCATGAATCTACTGTTTAAATAAAAAAAAATCTATTTGAAATTTTTAGATTTGAGCAAGCCAAGAATAGATAGTAAACCATTTTTACAATTTTTTTAAAAACTCGTTTTTGCTCAGTTTGAAGGAGGTTTAAATTTCCAATGTTCCAATTACAAAAGCAAACAATACGCAAAACGTTTTACACGTTGTACATACATAGATAATTTAGTTATATTTCTTCTTATCCTCATTTTCAAGGTAAAGGTAAAGATTTATACTTAATCAAACTAAAATAAAAAAAATAATTCAACTATAAATTTTACCAAATTAACGGCAATGGTTTTTTCCCATTCTACCTCGTTTACGATTCCAGCATTGTTTACAACAATGTCAAGATTGTTAAATTTACTTATTGTTTTCTCAAAGGCATCTGAAAATAGAAACAATCAATATTTGTTACTCACATGCTTAAAGTTTACCTTCCAATTCTTGTTTTTTAGTTACATCGTCCTTGATTACTAGTATTTTGTCAAAATATTTGTATTTTAACTCCTTCTTTCCATCTTCATCTGAAATGTCAACTACTCCAACACCCTAAAATTTTAAGCAGCAAAGATTTTCGTTGTTGTTGATAAGTTGATAAAATTAAATTTCTATTAACAAATTTTGTAAACAAAATTAATAAATTGATTTAGTTCTCGAACAACTAGGAGAATTTCCCATTTCTTCACTATAAAATTATTAATTACAGCTTTAACTGAAATAATTGGTGACGGCACCTAAGTTGACGTGTTTGTTATTAAATCATAATATTTTAACACTTCTTAAGATACTTTTATACAGCCTGTCTCCTAAAAAACGCCGCAAGACATAACTCCGTTATTTATAGTCTGATTTTAAAAACAAAAAAGAAGTTCAAAAAAGTGATAAACACTGTATTTTATGGTATTCCATGCACGCAGTTATTCAATATTCCTTAATTAATCGAACTTTTTGGAAACTTTAATAATTTTTATATAACATATACACACAATCATCACTCGCGTCAACTTAACTTTAATTTATTGTAAAAAAATAGAATAAAAAGTTCCAGTTCCAGTGCCAGCAACAAACTAGGAATATGAAGTTCATGTACCATTTTGTATATAATTTTTATACAGTTGTTTGCTCCCGGGAAGTAAATTGAGGCGTTATAAAATATTTTTATTGCCCGGTTAGAAATATGGCAGTAAATTTGTTTATGTCTACCGGTACGAGACTAAAAACTGACCCAGCTTTAGTGAGAGAATATAAATTAGCTGATGCACCAGCCACCGGCCCGCAATAAAGCAGGAAATAGGACATAAAATCTCACACCTGGAAATTGCGAATTTTTGCGGAATGCAAAAATCTCTGCCATTTTTAATTGCCAATTTTTGCACTGGACCAGTTCAGTGGAACCGCGGCGTCATCTCTGTTGATGAAGTGGCATTTAACCTGTCATAAAAATTCGTTGCGATCACAATTTCCTGATTACCGAGGGTAAAACTAGAGTGAAACATATACGGCGGTTGTTTAGCATGAAAAGCTTGCAATAGAAATTTTCCAAGCTATTAGTAGCTTCAGGTATTGCGCATAACGGAAATTTAACCAGCGACAATGAAGATTTGTCTCAAGTTTAATACAAGTAAATTTGAATACTATGGGAATACATAAAAAAGTCATGGCTTGGATGCTTTTAAAATGGTTCTGCTTCTAGTAATTATTATTATTTCTTTATTTTATAATAGAATTAAGGAATTGACAGAATAGAACCTTCGAAAAAATTCAATGTTTATGATAATTTCCATTTTGGTACAACTCTGCTACTATTAAAGTTATTAAAGAGAAAAAAATATATTTTCGTTTATAAAAAACTTTGGTACCTAATCGTATTGAATATGACATTTCGAATTTTAAGAGCATCGTTCTAAATTTCTGATATCTTAAACTTACACAATGCGTAAACTAACTATAGTTTTGGCAAATTAATTTTTTCATAACTAAAGGTGGAAGATATCTCTTTTTCTTATTATATTCTTATTTAGGAAGTCTGATAATAACCTAGCTTCACAAAGAAAAGTATTGTGCATATGACTACAATTCACTATTCCTATGTATTTTGAGCCGCTGAATTTGAATTTGCCAAAAATTGCCCCAGCAAATCACCAGAAACATCAAAAATTGCTTCATAAACCCACAAAATCGACGTATCAACATTTAAAATCTAGGTATGATTTATCAGCATCGAAACTAGTGGTCAGATCTTTATATTCTTATGCATCTTGACCCGCTGAATATCAATCCGAAGTCACATTTCGCCTAAAAGATTGCAAATCCTTTCTAACCTTAAAAAAAGCTTAAAAAGCTTCAAAATTGATAAATTAGCTTCTATGAATTAACAGCAACTGAAAATTGTGGTCTGGCCTATATATTTCCGTGTATTTTGACCAGCTGACTCCGAATCCGATGTCGCTTTCAAAGACTAGACCCATGTAGCCAGAATTGATGCAGCCAGAATTGCATCGCATTGCCATCAACCACCATTTTTTTAAATTACGAAGAACCGTCCTTAATTACAGAAAATATGGACAATTCCATTTTTCAAAACTAAAGGGAGTTCAACTTCATCTTTCACGCCTGTTTCTTATGTCTATCAGATTTTAGAGAAAGAAAGAATCACTATAAACAGAAAGTATGGCCAAAAAGAATAGATTTCCATCCAGTGTTGGAAAAAATTATCTTGAAACCTAACAGTGATTTGTTTCCAAAGACTAGACATAATATGCATCCAAATGTATTTTGATATGCTGAATCTGGATCCGAGTCCAAAATTGCTCCATTACCCCCAGATATTTTTAAATCGCCATACACTTAGATATGGAATAACATTTGGAACAATTGTAGAAAGAGAGGAAGTTACTGCAGAACCATATCTACATGTATTTTGATGTACTGAAGCCGAATCCGAAGTCAAAATCACTCTATTACCTTCCAGTATTTTTATACCTTGCAAAATAATAATGTCTAATGTCTAAGGCTAGTCTGGGCTAATGTTTGGGAAATTCCTTTCCAGAAATAGATAGAACTTCGTTCATTCCATTTGATGCCCGTAAAGATATGAGGACATTCGCAGATCTCAACATCGTTTCCAGATAAGAAATGAGGTTCATTTTACTCCTTTCTCCTTTTGTAAAAAAGAAATCTGCCATCATATTAATATCCCACCTCCCTTGGCAGCAACGCTCCATTTCGTGGAGGTCTTGATGAAACTGTCCAATCGCTACTGTAGTCTCCAAGGTTCTTCCGCAGATGAGAGTCTAGGAAATGCAATTTCAAGTTCATCAGGCAACCAACTGTTTGAAGTTTTCCAATGCCTCACTTTTCTGATTCCCCAAGAAACTCAAATTGACTTTCTTGAAAGTTAGCCATGCTGCTCTTTCAGTATCATTCATTTTTGTGATGAATTTTTCGTCTGTTAACACGGTACGGATTTGAGGACACCTTCTTTTAATTAAGCATGACGTAGTTCCGGAAACAGTCGCCATCCTTGTCCAAAGCTTTAACCAACTATTTTATTACTGCAAATTTAATATGTTTTTCATCCTTGGACGGATAAAGAAAGTAGAATTTTCCATATTTTCTGTATTTAAGGACGGTTCTCCGCGATTTAAAAAAAAATGGTGGGTGATGGAGCAATTCTGACCCAGAATTCGTATTCAGCGTGTCAAAATACATAAGGATAGATAAGTCTATTCCTTGGAACATACCGCTTTACTTTTTTGTGGGTCTTTGAATCCTTATTCCAAAATTTGAGAATAATATCGTTTTAAGCCATTTTTCCAGGTTAGAAAATTCTGGTGATTTGCTGGGGCAATTCTGACATCAGATTTAATCAAAATACACGGAATATATAGGTCAGACCATAATTTTCAGTCGCTCTTAAATCATACCTGGATAATAATTAATGTTGTGGATTTTTTTTAGGAAAGATTTGTGACCTTTTAGGCCAAATCCGGATTCGTGTTCAGCGGGTCAAGATACATGGGAATATAAAAATTTGACCACTGGATTTTAAATGATAATTTGTCGATTTTATGGGTTTTGAAATATTTTTTGATGTTAAGAACATTCTGGTTATTTGCTGGGGCAATAGGCATGATGACAGTAACCAAGAATATAAATATGATTCATGGATTATAAAAAACGTATTTATTTTTATATTATGAGCGATATTGATAATATTTTTGATAAAATAGAACTACAAAATAAACCGCCATGATAGGTTGAACACCAACCAGAGCGAATTACGTCACATCTATGTAAATGTCATTTTGTGTCATTTGTACTTCGACAATATCCACAGTATTTAGCTTCTTTTAAATATTTTGTGTTTCCCAACTATCAGTTGCTTAGTTTTGTGTTACCAAAACGATAATCAGGAAACGTTAGGTACTTGAAAAGTTGCTAAAAGAAGGAAAGAAAATAAAGCTCAACAACTGCGAGTTAATAAAATATCAAAAACACTATGGTCGTTATCAAAAGTTTATCCATGCATAAATTGATGCTGAAATACAAAGAACAGCCCTGCGACACATTTTTGAAGAAACTCGTATTGACTGATGAAGATGACATGAAAGTTGAAGAAGAGACGAGACCAATATCAAAGCTGTTTTTGGCATGAGTTAAGATATCGCAGAGTGACGGCCACACGAGCGTTTGAATTTAGTCGGTGCAAAACCAATGATGCAACTCTGATCACGTTAATAA